AGGTGGAGTTGGGAGCTGTGATTATTCCGAATCCAAATCACAAAAGCTTTATGGGGGAATTTACAAGATGACGATAACCTATTTATTTTTACAATACGTGAGTATTAAAGTATTAAATGAATGGCACATTTTCATAACGTGTAATTATAAGGTGACCAATGGTTTTTTGGCAAATATTTGCAAAATATTTCTTATTCGGTAGATCTTCAAAGAAAAATAAAATTTCTTTATCCAACCCTACTGTATAGATGATAATTGCTATTATGTAATTGTTCTACCTGATTAAAACATTTAATCCATCAGTTTCTGTTAGGTGTTTGTTAGGTGACCTGTTCCAAATATTACGTATACCCCCGCACGTGCATACGTTAAAAAAAAAATAAAGTACCTTGATCGAAATTTGTGATAAATTAAATACAGAAATCATTCGTCATGTGAGCAAATATATGCAGAATTAGCAAGCCGTAGGGCGTCCGCATTACGTATCGCGTTTACGATTGCTTTTTTTGGAAGAATCTCCTGTGACGCTTTGAAAAACCATTTGGAACTTTGAATTGGAAAACCCCCCCCCACTTGTACTCACTCGTATGAATAGTTTAACATTATATGGTAACATATATTTAATGAACTGTACAAGTACACACACTGATTGATAAATATTACATGCGTAAAGACAATATAATACAATGTTCTTCGCTAACGGATTTCCGTGAAAACATTCTAATACGCGTATGGTGAGCTATGGTAATAGCCTTCTCACCAATTCTTCCCTCTGCACACTAATCCAGTATTCTTCATTCTCTATGGGACCATGATAAAGTGGACAAATTTCCCTTCGCCCGCATTCAACATCAAAATTCCTTTGTCGTCGATTCCTCATCCGAAAATAAAACGTTTGTTCCTTGCCCATTCGGGAATGGGTTTGTTAAAATTCTTGGAGCAATCGCGCATGAACTTCTTCACTCGTTCGCTCAGGAATTCATCTTTCGTAAGATAGGCTTCATGCAAGTATCGTTTGCCCA